TCTCTCTCTCTCTCTCTCTCTCTCTCTCTCTCTCTCTCTCTCTCTCTTGCTCTCTCTCTCTCTCTCTCTCCCTCTTTCTCTCTGTTTCTCTCTCTCTCACACATTCATTCATTCATTCATTCATTCATTCATTCATATCACAGACAAATGCACATGGCTTTGATCTCTGCTGGTCTGAAAGAAGTGGGCCCAACCCCCATCGCGTCTCCTACCCTGCAGTCCTGGGTTTCTGCAAAGCAATTCAACCCCCTGCACCCTGACACTGCCTTCCGTCTCTCCTAGCTCCAGCTCTGGGGTCACTGCCATCAGCTGGCTGGTGGAGTAGGGGTGAAGGGGAGGGTTGTTTCCTTTTACTCCCATGGTCCTCCTGAAAACATTAACAGTGGGGCAGCTGTTCCTACCCAGCTATGTGTGAAGGAGGGAAAGGGACAGACAGAGGCCCCTGTCGACTCTTCCTTCCTCTCCCTGCCTCTGGGGAGCTGTCCAGTCTTGGTGTGTCAGCTTTTACAGACTGTATGCATGCATGTGTGTGTGCTCGGTGTGGGTTGGGGGGCTTCACTCACCCATTTTCTGCCAGCTTCCAAGTCTCCCTCCATCCTGATTATTCCAGATGTGTGGGCCTCCCTCCGTGCCGCTCCTCCCCCTTCCCCTCTGTTTTTATAATCTGCAAACCCTGGATGCTCTCTTCACACCCTCCCTTCAACAGTGTTTCTCCCCTTCCCTCCCTCACTCATTTGTCCCTTGACAGATTTGTATGGAGTCCCGATGTGGCCCCAACTGTGACTTAGGGGCTAGAAAATAAGCTGGGCCTACCACCCACCTTCTGTTTAAATGACAAGAAAAGACAGATGCAGAATCGTCCCTAGGCCTCAGGAGAATAGAGACAGGCCCTCCTGAGCTTGTCTGGATGCTAGAATATTGCTTCAGGGAAGTAAAAGTGTGATCACGCTTGTGCATGTGTTTGCATGTGTGTGAGCATGTGTTGGTTGTGTGTATGTTTGTGGGTGACCTTGTGTCACTGCACATGTATATGTGAGCTCTCTGTCTCTGTGTCTGTGTTAGCATGTATGTAAGTGTGAGCATGCCTGTGTTTCTGCATGGGAGCTTGCGCATGTGTATGTGTGTTTCCTGGGTCTGGAGTCCCCTTCCTTTCCCGGCAGCACCTGAACGCCCACAGTCCAGGTGTGTGAATCCCCTGAGTTGTGTGTGGACTGTGGTACATGTGGGTGTGGTTGCATTTTGTACTGTGGGGGTGTGACATGTGGAGGGAGACCTCAGTGGTAGGTGAGGTGTAGTGTGGTACATAGCATATTTGGTGTGTGTGGTGTGATATGTGACACACAGTGTTTCTGGCGGGGTTGTGATCTGACTACAGGTTTGAAGAGTGTACAAGCCATGTATGCAACCTTGGTGGTGTGATGCTGAGACTTTCCTGTGCCTGGATCCAGCAGGATTGTTGTCAAGATCCCTTTCATGGCGTGGACAGAGATGACTCCATGTTACCTGCCTTCAAACATTGCCCCCGAGTTCAGGCCTCACTGCTGTGGAGTATAGAGCCTCCATCTTCTGTCCTCCCTGCCTGTTTCCCACTCTTTCTTTGTCTCCTCTATCTCCTGTGTCTCTGCCCCGGGTTACAGCCCTATGTGTTGCCTGCTGTGGCACTGATTAGTTTCAATTCAGACCTGATTGCAGAGCCCCTCCCTCGTGTGCATCCTCCAGCATCTTCTACGCCTCTCAGGCATTCTTCATCAGTCTCTGCCCACTCCCACCCCAGCCTTGTTCAAGTCCCCTCAGGCATGGCCCCTTGGTCAGGCTACTGTCCTGCTCTGAGCAGCCACCCCCCTCTCCCTTAGCTTTGGGGTGACTGCCATTGGTTGGGAAGTGTTTTTCATTCCGAGGCTCTTCAGAAAGGGCTTATTGTGAAGCAATTGTTGCTGCTGCCCATTCAGAGGTGTGTGTGCGTGTGCATGTGTGCATGTGTGCGTGTGTGTGTGTGGTGAGTGTGTGCATGTGTGCGTGTGCGTGTGTAGCTGCCTGGCAGCATGTCATCTCTGCCACTTGCTCTAATCCTTTACCCCACTCTGAGGTAATTCTCTTTACATTTTCTTTTGGTCATTGCACACTGAACAGCTCCT